AAATAGTATATATAATTATATATTATATAACATATTGGAGGTATATTATTATCATACTTAAGTTCATAAAAAACATTATATATTATATATCCTTCTAGTTTAGTATATAACAATAAAAGTATATATATTATATAACCTTTTGAAGGAGTATATGTTTATAATATTGTATATTAAAAGATTGTTTTTTTATTACCTAGGCACTACATAAATTTTGACTTTTGGAGACGAAAGGAAGCGTCGCTAAAGCTTCAAGCTTTGACGACGAAAAAATTTCATTGTGTAACTCGTCGCCATAACCCTATCACAAAAGATCAATGGCGATGAAAGTCTAAATTGGTCACCATAGAGAAGTTATGGCAATGAACACAGTTTCGTCGCCATAGCTATCTTTGGTGACAAATTGGCTTTCGTCGCTAGAAAGCGTCTATGGCGACGAAACGACTTTTTCCTCACCATAATTACAGTTTGTATTTTATTTTTTTATTTTTTATTTTTTACAATATTTGTAGCATTTTCCTGAATATATAGAAATGAGTTCAAATTTCATATAAAGATTTATAATATTTAACAAAAATTGGTTTTACAATATAGAATAAAAGTTCAATACAATAAGTGAAATTCAAAACCTATTCTAAAAACTCCCATCATCAAGTCTTCTTTTATGAAAATCTTCTCACATCTCCAAAAGCTTCTCATAACAAAATTGAACGCACCTGAAAAAAAAAATAACAAACAGACTTATGTGAACAAAATAATTAATATTTTTCTTAAAAACTGATTTGCAAGCCATAAGATTGTCTAACTCACTCCACATGCCATAAACTCAAACTAAGCATTCAAAGTTACAATATGTCATAAATTCACCATTTACATTCAAGTTAACAAATATAAAAAGTTTCCCAAACTAACCAAAAAAAAAACATGTATGTATAACTCATTCAAAGTTGATCCAAATTGCACAAACTAAAAGAAAATTATAAGAGCACCCCCCTCCCCAACTTTTCCATCCAAAGTTAATAAAAAAACTCATCAAAACAACCTTCAAATTCACAAAACTTACTCTCGTTACTAAAAAGTCTTAAAACATGCACACTCGATCACCGAAAACACTTTAAATATAAGAAAGTTTCAAACTAATTAAAAAACAAACATGTCTACGTAACTCATTAAACTCAATCCAAATTGCACAAAGTAAAGTAAAAGTATAAGTCCACCCTGCTTATTGCTGTCGGCCCATAATAAGCAATGACATTAATAAATTAGTTTCCTTTATGCACTTCCAATGAGGCAAATTGTATGGAATAAGTACCACTGGCCACATGTTGTACAAATTGTTCATATTCCCAAACGGATTAAACCCATCTAAAGCTAGTTTCAAATGAACATTTCGTGGGTCGGAAGAAAATTGAGGAAATGCTATCTAGGTGCTTCTACCTCAAAGCGTTGGCTGGATGTCGTAACACACCGTCTATCTCAACCGTTTATCTTTACATCACCTCATTTCATAAGCAAAATATTTTCAAGAAAAGAATCGTTTCAATCTTGGTATCAACAGAAAATATCGTAAAACTTTTTGGGGACTTGTGAAGTTTCCCATTAATTTTTTTATAATGAGACTCACCACATACTGGACAACTTTGACATTCAGAATATTCTTTCCTGAATAATATGCAGTCATACTAGCATGTATGGACTCATATGAAAGTCCTAACTCACGCAATTTCCTTTTTGTCTCGTAGGATGTACTAGGTATAGATGCACCGATCGAAAATGTTTTCTTTAACAACTCAAGTAACATATCAAATGATTTATTACTCCAGTTCTTAATGACCTTGAGATGCATAAGCTTTAATGATTATGTACAACCTGGATACAATTGATTACGTGTTTCATTGAACAACTGCTCGAAAGTGTTAGACCTATCTCTTTCATGTTCGTTTGGGGGCATCTCAAAACAAAATTGTTCACTTTCTACATTTTCTTCTACAATGAGGCATTATAAATCATTGAGAATACCAGACATCTCATCATCCTCATTATTCGTAACATTGGATTTTCTACTTAATTCATTATACGAAGAAGTTTCATGTCTTGTATAATTACTTGAAGGGGTTGGTTTTTCTCTATGGTATATTCATTGAGTATATGAATGTAATATTCCATTTATAAACAAATGTCTTTCTATTCCATCAATTGAATCCACCTTGCATTCATACAATATCTACATGGAAATTTTGTTTTTTTCGTATTGTTGATGTGAAGTTTTGCTAGTTCTATGAACTGTTTTACTCCTTCTACATACTCGGGCAAGAATCTATCTCTAACCTTAATTCAATCCTTATTCATTGTCAGTGATAATAGTGTTCAAAGAACTCCCAATTCAGTCTAAATGGGCAATACTGAATCCTAAAAGAACCAAACAAAAGATTAGATTCATTTTGTCTAACATTAGAATATTTTGAAAATAGAAATATCTCAAATTTGATTTCAAAGTGAGATGAGGATATGGGTGGTCATTGTTGAGGATAAAGGTTGTAGTAAAAAATATGAGAGTTTGAAAATATTATTGAGAGCTTAGATATATCCCTAAGATATAGCCAGTAAGGAAAGAACTAAAATAGCTAAGATATAACTCAAATCTAATTCTATACTTAGAGAGCTCACCAAGATATTTCTATGTTTTTGTATATCCATTTTAAAAGTTTCTTAAAATCTAACTAAATTTGATTAAGTAACTATTAATTAAACCATCACACTCACAATCAAAATAGTTCATATTTTACAAAACTAATAAATTAAATCAATCAAAAGCAACATCAGCACGCTCACAACCAAAATAACGAATTCAAAAAATAGAATCAGCACACTGCCGAACAAAATAGTCCATACTTACAAAACCAATAAATGAAATCAAACAAACAACATTTCAACACACTCGCAACTTAATTAAGGAGTTCAAAATCACACCAGCATGCTCCAAACTAAAATAGTTAATACTTACCAAACCAAGAAATTAGATTAAACATGCAACACCACATTACAACCAAAAAAACGAAGTCAAAATCAAACTAATTACAAATTAATTCACAACATACCTTCAGCACAAGTTACAATGAACATCGAGAACTAATAATCTCAAAGCCAAGCTTATAAATTTCAACCTAACAAAAACTCGTGAAATAAAAATCACATAAACACATAACTAGCTAGGATTGTATGTACATTTAAGTTACAATCAAACTAGCCATTAAAGTCCATTGACTAATAATTTGGACACTTGAATAGAAATCAACACAAACCCACTAAAAAAATCATCATAATTAAAATCTATCAAATTTTAGAAACATAAAGACACACAAAAGAATCCTAAAATTCCCAAATTTCAAATAAAGATCCAAAATCTTGAAATTTCTCAAAACACGAACTACGAACTAATTCCCCCACACACCCACTTTCAAGATTTCTCAAGTTCCTCTTTCTCTATTAACAAAATAAAGTTCCAATAGCTTGAAATTTTCCGAAACACAAACTCAAACAACAACCTCCCAACTAATTCCCCACTCACTAACTTTCAAAAATTCTCAAATTCCCCTCTCTGTATTAACATGGGCCGAAATATAAATAACTCATATGAAATTCAAGCCAAAAAGGAAAATAACTTTCACAATTCTTCAAATTCAACCCATATGAAACATCAATATAATCTACATGCATGTGTAACCTAGAATTTTAACAAAAATAAAATAACAACCATATACATAAAGCAAAAATTATATACAAAAATAAAAGGAAAAAGAGAATGGAGCTCCAAAAATGTGACAATGGGTGGTGTTTTGGTGGACGACGGAGTCGATGGTTGCAGAGACGATTGGCCGACGGCAGCATCACGGAGCAAGCAAAGGCAACAGTGGCTTTTGGGGGAGGGGTGGTTTGGTAAAGGTTGTGGAGGCACTCCAAAATAATTACTAATTTTACTAAATCTAACTTGTAGAGACCACGCCGAATCTCAAGAGAAACTAATGAAATTAATTTCTCTGAAATAATGGGCCGACCGGTCTTGATCCTTACAAATGACGATGCTATTTGACGTTCGTATACAATATCCACAATTCCTCTCAATCTTTAATTCAACACACAAATTAATTTACTTTGTTAGATTAGTTAGAAACAAAGTTACACTAGGATAACCCTTGTTTGAAACATTTTGGCAGTGTTCCTAGATTCAAATCAAAATAATCTCCTCCTTTCTTGTTGTCAAGAGAATGTCACCTATTCAAGCATGATGAAAAATAACCTATAATAAACCTATTTTAAATTTAAATACAAACAAAACTTCAAGGAAATTTATTGAAACTTTATCCATGGAGTTATTCTCATATTAGCTTAATAAAAAACTTAAAAACAAAATGGCATAGAGAAACTGACTTGAAATTAAGTTTAAACACAAATCTAAAAATGAAAATTTAACCCCAAAGAGCCTTTGACAGGCAAGAAAAGTTGATAGCAGCACCACTATAATTTAAAGCCTACGCCAACCCCAACCCCAACCAACAACAGGCCATCAATTAAAACTATACAACATCCAAAAAAAGAACCCTTCTGAAAATTTGGTTGTGGTTTCTAGAAAATATAATGTTGATGGCCGTTTTCATCAACCAGCAGCTTCTTGCTTTCTTCTTCTTCTTCTGCGCCATGAGTGGCAGCCATTTCCAACCCAGTGAGCTTCTTAGCCTTCAAAGCTTCAGCCTCCCAATCAGTCTTGGCCACGACCACATAGAGCATGGACACAGCGCAGGCCACCTGGGCCGACAGCAGCCCAAACCAAAGCCCAACGAACCCAACTTTAAGCCCAAAGGCGAGGCCCACAGCCACTGGAGTGCCCACCAGGTAAAAGGAACCCAAGTTGATGCGGGCGCCCACGGCAGGACGGGCAGTGCCGCGTAGGATGCCATACCCCGTGGTCTGCGGGCAGTTCCAGAGCTCACACAGCCCTATGATTGGCAGGGCTGAGGACACCAATGATTTAACCAACGCATCGTCTGTGAAAAGCGTGGCCCACGTGCGCCTCAGAATCACCGTCCACGTCACGTTCATTCCGCCAATCAGGAACGCGCATCCCAACGCCACCATGGCAGCCAGTTTTGCCTTCTTTGGCTTTCCACCTCCCAGCTCGTTCCCCACCTGCTTCATCATTGTACACAACAAAGCTGATCGAGATCATGGTTCAACGGCCGGGATTGTTTCGTGAGGGGCCCACTTCAGGTGAACAGTGTGGACCACATCCCAACAAAATAATATACTATACTATTTATTGCACCAATCAAATCAAATCAGAAGCTTTGTAGTTGAACAGTTTTTATAACAAGGATATTTTTGTTCTCTGTTGTCACATCATGTTTTAACAATTTATAAGAAAAATGTACTCCAAACTTATATTCTAACATTGTGAAAATAGGATGGTCCTGAGTGCGGAAAGTTTAATCTTGCTCAGTTAAATAGTAGGGGTGTTAAAAAAATCCAGTAATCCGAACCACCTGAACAAGTTCAATTGGGTTAGAATTTTTCGATTTGGGTTAGATTGAATTTGAAATGAAGTGAGAAGCAAGCAAGGAGAGTCACATGTACGGTGCAAGAACGTACTCTCACCTGAGTGTGGGGTTGGGGGAGCACCAAACATTATTCCCCAAAATCTCACACTGCCACTAAAAGATAACAAACCAAGCAGCTCAGCAATTCACTTCACACCAAACACACCTTTTTCAATCATCAGTAGGACAGCCTATGTCCCTCCCCGCACGTGCTCCCCTCCTCACTCTCCAACTCACACTAATAGCATCAATGGAGAACTTAAATTTCTAAGGTGTTTTTGATATATGGATTCACTTTGTCTAATTTGAGGTGTACAAATAATTACTACTGTAATAGATACTACACAAACTCATTTTGTATGTTCAAAGATACACTACATAAATATTGACTTTTCACTCCTAAAATTGAGGAAGTCAAACTTATTATGATAATTGAAACACAACCGTCTATCTTAGGTAAGTGGCTGCCATTTAAACTTTTACTATTTACCTTGGTCCTATTTTTCGTAGTTGCAACATTTATTCGGAAAATTTTAAGACGGAGAAAGGGCGAGACTTATTTTTAGATTGCACTACAAGTGAGACACAAAATTTGGGTCTTGATTTGCAAAACTTTCCAAGTTAGATGAGCTAGTTTGAAGAAATCTTCTCGAAAAATGGCATGTATTTTAGGTGGAAAGCTCTACAGGAGCCACAAAAGAAACAAAAGGTAAACAAAACAACTAAAGAACCAACCCCAACTAATGACAGAGATTAAAAAAAAGCCTTTCCCTTTTTTCAATTGGAAGAATGGGCTGTTCTGATCATCAAACTGCTGAAAATAAGAACCACAAACTGTGGTTGGAACTGGTAAAAGCATTGAAACAAGCCGCAAAAGTGGTACCCAATTGAAGCAAGCTTTGAATATTAAATATGACATCAAAATAACAGAGGTTAGAATTGGTCAATAGAGAATAAATTTTATCACAAAGAAGAAAATAATTTAAATCACTAGCAAAGGTCTCTAAATGAATGCATAGCAATAGAAAATTTAGAGAGATAGGAGACTACATCCAAAGTAACGACCACTAAGGTCTAATCCAAAATGGGGAAAACGCACTCAACACTTCAAGCCCATTTGAAGACATCAAGTTCATACACATACGTGTAAGAAAAACAAAACGACTTAAAATGCAAATAAGCCTATAAAAATAACCAAACAAAGATGAAAAAGACGGCTGAAAATGAAAGATTAGAATACGAAGTGGGTTATTGGTGAAACTTTGAAAATCTATAATTTTACACAATTGAAGGTTTTTCCTACTGTAACAATCATAAAATAAATTTTGTAATATCTTAGCCTTGTTTGACATGATAATTAAACAAGCATGATACTTGTCAAAATCACAATAGCAATTGGCAAATGTTGAGATGAACCTAACGTAGTATATTCACAGTTTTTATAGAATTATAGATATTATGGAGCAAGAAAAAAAAGGAGAAATTTGAGTGGGGAACTTACCCTGGTAGAGACGCAACCAGAGAGAGCCAAGGGTACAGTGTACATCATGCTTGTAGTTTGGATGAGAATCCCAGTGGCGGCCACAGCCGACGTTGGATTGGACAAATAACCAGACAACACTGTCACAATTTCATACCACCACCACTCCAAACATATTCCCAAGCAACTCGGTACAGCCAATTTCATCATTGGCCCCACGCCTCCACAAACCTCTCCAATCTTCACCGTCCATCTCATCTCCCCCTTCCTCCCCCACACCCACACGTATCCTGACATCAATCCCACAATGTTCAAATTTGTCAGCACCGAAGCCATCGCCACTCCTCGGATTCCCATGCCCAGCACCGCCACCATCACGTAGTTTAGAGGCACGTGAAGCCCAACTGCTACTAGAGTGCAATACATCATGGGCTTCGTGTCCTTTTGTGACCTTAAAAAGATTTTCAGTGGTTGCAGCAAGGTGTTTGTTAAAAGGTCTGGAAGAGAATAAATGCAGTAAATAGCCGCCATCCTTGTGATTTCTTGATCTTGGCCTAGAAACACCATGATGGTGTCGAGGTTGAGCCAGAGAAGACCGATGGGTATGGTTGCAGTGAGGAGGATTAGGACCATGCGTTGCAGAGAGAGACAGAGGAGATCCCAGTTTTTACTACCGTACGCTTGGCTGCATATGGGTTCCAACCCGGCGGCTAAACCCACCATAACAGAATAGCCTGTGATGTTTGTAAATCCTATTGAAAGTGCACCGCCGGCTAGCTCTAGGCTCCCAATTCTACCCAAGAACAAAACAGAGACCACCTGCCTCAAAAAGACCAGGAAGTTCATGGTGGTTATTGGTAAGGTCATACCCCACAGCTCTTTCAACTCTTCTACCACCTGCAATGATTTGCAGTAAATCTTCAAATCCAGAAGAGAAACCGGGAGCGGGAGTTAATTTTTTGGTTGGTTTCTGTACCTGAGAAAGAGAGGGGACTTTGTTTGAAGAAGCTTCTGGGTTCTCGTCTTCCATTCTTTAAGAAAAATTCTCGACGACGCGTATACGCTGCATGGAAAACACTGATCAAACAACGAAAAAAAAGAAAGAAAATAAAATACACGTTTTATCAAGGAATCCATCCCCTACACCAACAAAGCAGAATTCAATGCAACGCGTGGCATTTAGAACAATGAACAAAAAAACAAAGTAGAAAAAGCAACCTAAGCAATTCAACTCTAAACGTACCTTCCTGTGCTTGTCTAGAAGTCTGACTCTAAGTGCAGGAATTAGGAGAAGCAAGGGAAAAGCTAGTAATGAATAAGAAGACGAGGGGAGACAGAAACAACCAAGCAGGAATCTCGAGTTTTTAAGTTTTTACCCAAAAAAGGAAATAAAATACGATGTAATGCTGGAGGCCTTTTGTTCAGCTTTTGTATTTTATTAATATTAATGTATACATGCACACCCATACCATGTTGTATACAAACACAGACATATATTTGTGCTCAGAAAAGCAGAAATGACTTAACAAGTGGCAGCTATGGCCTACTACCAAACACACGCACGTATTGACAAAGAGTAGAATGTTAAGAGCTTAGGAGTGAATGAAAATGATGGAGAAATAGATGGGTTTCAGAATTTTGCTTTTCATTTAGCAGAAGGAGAGAAAGTAATGGGAGGGAAAGGGACGGCAAAAGAAATGGATCCATTTGTTGGCGTTTCGATGATTGATAACTTTATCTTTCGACTTTTTTATATCCAAGATTTTCTACTTTTTTTTCTTTTCTTTTTTTTTATGCTCTCTTTAAACCATGGGAACCCAAAAGTTGAAATCTTTTTTCCTTTTCAACATGTCCCACCATGTTGTGACCATACGAATGCTGAGTGGAAGAGTTGGAACTCGAAGGCCAACAAGATTGGAGACTCAACTGAACTCTAATTTTCTTTGAACAGTTCTTCTGACCAATACTGTGCATCTACTAACTTCATCAACGTTAAAACAAAATAAGGCAGATAAAAATCCAATTACCTCTCTAGAATCCACAATCAAACAAATATAAAATATTAAAAAAACAATGTTAGCTCAAAGTTTTTCTCCAAAATATAAAAAACCATGCACGTGCTGAGAATAAATTGAAACAATATATTCCTTCCCCCCAAAAAGAAAGAAACAGCATATATGCATTATGTGGAAAGTACTTCTTTGCCCAAATATTTACTAATGTTAAAACGGTAAATAAATAAAATGTACTCAACACATCAGAATTTTATAACTGAGTCGTTACGGTTACCAGGTTTGAATCCCAATCCTGCATATTTATAATGATATATTCTTAAAACAAGTTATAATATGTCAATGAATTGATCCTAATAACTAAAAAAACAACTTAACTACAGAGTTAGAGAAATCATAGCTTCATCGATGAAAAGCTAAAGTGAAATATATATATATAAATATACATATATAGATATATGCAATTTAATTCCTAATTTTTTAAGAATAAATTTATAATTTGTGTACATAATGACACAAAGGGAGCTAAATAATTGGAAAAAATAATAACACTTGCAATTGACTACAAATAAATGATAAAGAATTATCACCAAACAGATAAAGAGAACCATTCAAGCTAACAAAAGGGCAATTATTTGGCATAGTTATTCTAGCAATTTCAAAGCAAAATTATATGGAAACTTGATATAATAAGAATAGTCTATTTCAAATATACTAAAAATTTAATGAAGTCTAGAATATTTATGAAAATAATTTATTCTTGAGATTAAATTATTTTTAAAAAATCATACTAATAATATAATTAAATTCACTAACTTATACAATCAACAAATAGACTTCGGTCATCAAGAAATGTATGTATCTACTCACAAATTAGAATTTGTAGACCCAGTTGGTTGGTACACTGACTCTCAGTTCTTTCTGAATCAACAAAATATTTATTCAAGTTAATAATTGATAAGAATCCAAAAAGAACTGAACCAAAATAAATAACAAAAAATCTGACATAACGAGTACCTCATTGCCTAGCCTCTGTCTCTGAGTCTAATATCCCTTCGTTCTTATTAAACACTGCAATAATACACATCCAACTTCAAATCAACATCCGTTCTCACCATCGTAGTTTTGAATCTCCACACATATGTTCAAATCAATATGTTATCACAAATTCAAAATCATAATATCGAGAAGCATTCTATAAGACTTTCATATCCAACTACAAAGATGCAAAATAATAAATCATGTTCCAATATCCAAGCGAATTCCAGATCGGAAAAATAAGTGAAGGCTCTTAAAACGAACACCACAGCACACATCTCAAATCAGATTCAACCTCGAAGGCGAAACTCGATCAACAAGCAAAGAGAGAATCGATTTCAAACCTCCATCGCGTTATTAGGAATTAGGTTCGATTCAATACTCGTCTAGCTAGTAAGAACCGGCCATCGGCGGTGGTTTCCGGCCGGAAAAGTATCCAAGAAGCCGCCGGAATAGATTTCAGGCGCTCAGTTCACTTCAACTTCCTCTCTGTCGCCTCGGATGGCGCAACTTGAAGAAATTTTTTGAAAAATCAAAGAATCTGAAATGAAGAAAGAGGAAAATATAGATTGGTTACCTGAGATGGAATCTGAAGAAGAAGAAGATTGAAGCTATGGTGAAGTTTCTTGTGAAGAGCGAGTGAAAAATGGAAGGAAGAATGAGGGAAATGAAAGACGAAGGGGAAGGAAAATGGGAGGGAAGCGTCCATGTATCCGTCATTTTCCCTCCAGATTTCTTTATTGAAATTTAACTTGCATATATATATATATATTTTAATAATCTCTTTCTAATCCCTAAACTTTTTCATTTATTTCGTTTTAGTCCTTAAACTTTTAATATTGCGTAGAGTTATGTTTATGTTGAGGGTGAAAATTAAGCCGAGACGTGGGTAGCACGCGGGGAGACACATGGCGTGTGGACCAACCCCATTACTCTCATACGACCAGTGAAGGATGCGACGGCAGGAATGGCGTGGCGTGTAGACGGTTATGCGACACGTTCTACTGCAAAGCACCTGCAGTGGGTTAAGGTGGCAAGCAATGGGGAAAATACCACACATCGCGAATATCCTCTAACAGCCTGTCGTAGCCCGTACGCGAATAAGGCCTACCACCCCTCACACCAGGCATTCTTCTTCGTCGACTTCGTCAGCTATAAAAGGGATAAGATCCCACCTCACTAAGTAAGTGAAAAATCTGTCACTTAATACTTGATGCACTCTCCATTCTCCTCCTCTCATTAGGTATACTAACTTACTGTTGAAGGACCTTAGGCAGGGCATCGTACTGGTGTCGAGGTCTATTATCGTAAGTTGACTTATCCGATGGCCTTTCCAATCGAAGGACATGTGGACCAACCGAATTTGGGCATCAATAGTTTACATTTAAGAAAATTACTTTTATAATTCCTTCTAATTTTTTTAGACGATTGATCGGGACTCTTTTTTTAAACCAATGCTAGTGGGCTAATATTTAACTGTCTTCTTCAATAATACTCAAGCCAATTAGGACACTTATATGTACATGATTATGAGGAAGAATAAAGAATTGTAGATATGTACATATCTCACGTTAAGAGAATCGACTGCTTTTACTCCATCTCCATCATTGCATATGGGAATATAGAAAGTAAAGAAGAAAAGGCATGACCAGAAGAATTGTGTGAAATAAGTCAATTTATCCAGTTGAGACATTCTTGATTGAGAAAAAATGATTCCCTCCAGACAGAAAGAGACTCCTTCCTGTACGAGTAGTGAAGAACTATAGAGATATGTGGTTGGTTGTTGACCTTTCGCTTGGGAACCAGGTATTTAATGGGCTATGAATCCGGATATTTACCCCTTTATGGAACTGAAACAGAGATTCAAAGATTTTTGCCAACTCAGGCGAGTAGTCCTTATTAGTCAAGCTTTGGCTCCAAACGAGAACTGGATTTCAAATTATAATCTCCCATTGCTCAAGATCCGATAGCATGCAACAACTAGTTGTAAGAAAGAGGGGGAAGAGAGAAGGGGGGAGTGTGAGGTGGGTTGGCACTTCGGTCAAGAGGGATAGCGTCCCACCTTCCTATCTTGACTGGTAGCCACAATCACTTGAGTCTAGTTTTTGAGCGAGAATGAAACTGTATCAAAACTTTGGGATATATTACAAATAAGATAACCTAACAAAAAAATGAAATATGTATAAAAGCAAGAGATTTTTATCTATTTATTTATTTTTTAATTAGAAAACGGATAGAAGGGTTGTACAGTGTTTTGTCTAATTTTTATTTCATTTCTTTATTTTCTACACACAAAAAAAAGTAATATTCTTTAACTTTAGCATCAATTTTAAGGAATAATATGAATTTCTCAAAAAAAAAAATCATGGAATAATATGTACTACAAAAATTCTATTCTTTTTTCAAATTAAATCATTTTTACTTTTGATATTAATATAGTTATTTTATTTTCGCGATAATTTTTAATAAAAAATTTTCGGTTGGATCATTATTATTATGTTTTTCTTTAAGACTTGGATCTTATTTGGCTTTTAAAAGATCTACTTTATTCTTATCATAAAGTTTTCTATTAATTATTTAATAGAAATTTAAATACATTTTAAAACATGTTGTATGGTTTGTTACATGTAACTTTAAATATTATACTAGATAATATTAATATTAAATTATACTAAAAAATTAATATTAAATTACTTAATAAATATTAAGATTACTTAATATTGATTTTCATTATTTATTGAGTAATTTAATATTCATTTATTAATTGGTCCAAATGAATATAGGTAATTAACATATATCTCCAATCAAGAGATGAGAGTTCGATCTCCACCCCATATATTGTACTAAAAAAAATATTCATTTGTTAATTGAATATCAAAGGAAAAAAAAAACTCCATTTGACTTAAAATTTAAAAACTGTATAACAAACAAGGCCAAGTTTTATTTATTTATTTTATTTTAAATGTAATTGTTAAACTCTTTTCAATTAGATTTTTTAAATAATTGACATTCTTTTACCATAACTTAAAATTATTGTTGATTTTAAGTTTAGTATTAGTCAACCAATCAAATTGACTATATTTAATTAACTTCTTTTGAAACTTCTAAAAAAAATTTTATGCTGAAATATATATTTAAAATTACTTACTGAGCTAGTATTGTCTTTCTTGCTTTTATTTTTTATTTTTTTTATGAGTTTAGGGTAGGAATTTTAACATCTGATATTTACTATAGATGTATGATGCATTAATTAAATTGAGCTATATTCGGTTAATAACTAGTATATTTGATATCAATCAAATTCACAACTAATTTACCAGTTACATGGGTTAGGTCCCACAATTTTTTTTAAGATTATAAATATGCCTAATTTTGAGAGGGTATAATTGATGCCTTATCTACTAACAATATATGTTTGTATTGACACAAATATACACATTCAGATCACAAATAAAAAAGTGTAATAAATATATATTAATTATTTAAAAATGGAATCAGGACAGGGTCAGGATATGCATTTCTTACTTTTGGGGTCTGACCTTGCGAAAATTTTTGTCATCCCTAATGTAGAGACATAGAAATAGAAGTTTAGAGATATAAATAAACTTTTAGAAGATAAATAGAGAGAAAAATAAAAAGATTTTGAAAAAAAATATAGTGAAAGAAAAGTTAAAGATAAAAAGAGAAAAAAAAAATTTTAGAGAAACAAAGTAAAGTCGAGAGGAAAAGGATATGTTAAAAAAAAGAAATTAGAAAGAAAGAGAAAAATTACCGTGGAAAAAATTTAGAGATAAAAACAAGATTCAAAATATAATTTTTAGAGAAAATAAATAAATAAAGAGATAAATAAAAGTTAAAGTGAAAGAAAATGGAACGAGAAAAGAAAGATATAAATTTCATAGGAAAAAATAGACTAGAAAGAGAAAAAAAAGTTTGAAATTTTAGAGAGAACAAAGTTCGAAAAAATATTAAATTTTTAGAGAGAAAAATGGAACTGATTTGTTAGAAAAAAATAAAAAATATATAGAGATAAAAAAATTTGGAGAGGAAGAGAGACAAATAATAATAAATATTCAACATATGAAAATTTTAGAGAGAGAAAAATAAATTTTGTAGAGAGAAATTTAGAAAAAAAATTTTTAGAGTGACAAATAAAATTTTTAGAGATAAAGTATAATAAAGAAAAAAAAGTTGAGTACTAAGACAAAAAAGTTAGAAGTAAAAATCGATACCTGGTTTTGAAAACTATTCTTTAAAAAAAATTATCTATAATTTCAAAATGGTTTAAAGAGAGAGAAAAAATTGAATTGGTTATATTTTTTAAAAATTAAAAACTAAAAACGAAATTATCTTCGGTTTTAAAATTCCTTTCAATCTCCTCCTTTCACATTGATTTGGGAAAACATTTTAAAAACACATTTAAACAATTTAACCAATCAAAATATATTTCTTCTCTGATTTTATCCAAACATGTCCAAATAAAAATTATAAAAAACTCAGAGCATTTCGTGAATCGATATGCAATTAAAAACCAACATTTTATTAAATATTTAAACAAAGGATCACAGGTAAAAAAAAAATTAGGAAAATAGTGGCGGAACATTGAAAGCATAAGATAAGATATCAAATCTTACTAAGTTGTTCTTTTTTTTCCTTTTAAGAAAATGAATAGCTTAGCATTAGGTCATGTGGACAAAAGGAGAACAAAGATTTTCCTCCACTAGGTGGAGAAGCCAAGGGAGAAAATTGTGGAACCAAAAGTTTGAAGAGGTAGATCGAAGTGAACACTTTGCAAAAAAATCCACAGGTCTATTGAGGTGACGACGAACATGCACAAACTAGCTAGAGCCAAAAAAATGGCTAGTGAAGGTCTGAATATCAAAGCTAGACCTTGTCAGCACCCAAACTCGCTGATTTTCCCTAAAGAAGAGAGATCGCCTCGAGTAAGTCAGATTCAACAATTAAGCGTGTACAACCAGACGATAAGACCATACGGACTCCTTCAAGGATGACGAGAAGCTCTTACAAACAACGAGTGATAAGAAATTGGAGAAAACACAAAAACCCTTGCTTGGAGAATTCTAGAGGAATCTCGAACAACAAGACCCAAACATGTGCCTTGATTGCCACTACCACAAGAAGTATCTGTATTCAATTTGAACTAGCTAGAAGGGGGAGTGCACCAAAAATCGACTGGAGAATGCGTTTCCATATGGCAAGTGCTCTGATGCTCCTTGGGTGGTGGAAAGAATGGATGAAGGTATGAAGCCATTCATTGTTTCTGATTTAAATTCGAAATATGATAATTCTGATCAATATCGTTTCTATCATTCCAAATCTACCAACAGACAATAGCAACCATTTCAAGCTTTTATGTATTCAGACAAGATAGAATAGGAACTTCTCCAAGTGATTAGAGAAGGATATAAGCGAATCAGAGGGTATAGGAGCTGCAGGGAGGGTCCTTTGTCAGATGGAGCCAGCTCGTTTACAGATGAAAAGAGAATGGAGAGCAGTCTCAGTCTTTGTTGAACAGTAGGGGCAAAGAGGTACTACGTCCAAACCTC